TCAGCTGTGGTCCTCAGGTCTGGACCAGGACCGAGACCCAGATCCTGGTGCCAAGCATCTGGAGCAGCTTCCTCTGTAGGGTCTCTGGGCTCGGAGAGAAGGGGAGGAGCTTCATCGACCTCCTCGTCAAAGGAGTCGGGTGAGGAGGCTCATCTGACCAGGACGCCCCCCTCCGACAGGGAACAAGCCCCACGGGGAGGAAAGTCCGTTCAACTTGAACAAAATGAAAAGTTGTTTTTAAAGAACATCAGCTGTTTGATGTCAACAAGAAGAAAATCAGTTTTCAGCTGATCTCGTCACGCCGATGATTTAAAAATCTACCGTACGGAGCTGGCAGGATGAAGAAACATGAATGATGAACGCTGCACCTTAAAAAACAAACTGCCCGATAGTCTTTAAAAACAGACATATGTCTGGTGTGTGCACCATCACACACACACGTGCACACGCGCAGCAGATGTTTGCTCTTCCTGCTCCAGCTCCTCCTGTGAGGTACAGCCAGCAGCAGCCAGTTGTTGGTTTTTCTTCTGAGGTTAATTGGTGCCGAAGAGTTGAGGCCAAACTGACGCCGCGTGACCTTTGACCCCTTTTATCTTTACATAACCCCCTCAGCCGAGCGCACAGACCACCGGGGAGTCTCCCCGCCCGGCTGGACTCCACCGAAGAGGATAAACTGACTCGGTTCGTGGAGGAGGAGGAGGAAGGAGGTTGAAATAATCAATCAGCCCTTGGAGTGGCGGAGTTAAATCACGGCAGGAAGACGAGGAGCGTGACGTCCTGCGGCGGCGCCCACGAGCTCTAAATCTCTGTCACCGGGTGGGGGGGAGGGGGTCTGAATTATGGCTGATAAATGTGCAGCGTTGTGAGTGTGCGTTTTCCAAACGCGCAGATGTGTTGGTGATAAATCAGAGCGCGGCGGGATCGATGAGACCATCGCGCACCGTTTAGCCGTCAGGCCTCGACATGAGCCGAAACAACCGAGGCGGACGTCTGATCCACGACGAGTCGCTGCTCGTCACAGACTCACACATGGAGGAATCGGCAGAGAGATGCCATCCAGCACCTGAACCTGACATGACCCCTCCCTGAGTGTGCGTCAGAAGACGAAGCTTTGAGTTGGACTCGGCTTGTTTGACCCGAGGGTTGAGATCATCAGGTCAGACCAAAACACAGAGGATCCAGTAAAGGGTCAAATAAAACTGGTGTGTTTATATGAGCAGAAGCTGAACTGTGTCCAGTGCAGAGAACTTCCTGTAGGAGGGATGTCAAGGGAATTTAGGTGAAAGTTTATGATGTTTGTCACCAACTAATGTTAATGTGTGACCGTCTGTCCGTGCAAGTAAAGACCAGTTAAAAATCTTCTTGTGTCCCCAGAGCGCCTTATTTGAGTAAAAAGGTAAATAATAGGATACAAGTAGTCCCTCGTTTATCACGGGGGATCCGTACCTGGTAGCCCCAAAACCGCAAAGTAGGAATACTAGTACAAGTAGTAAGTAGTAGTTTATTTTAGTATTTATGTATGTTTTCATGGGTTTCATGAGCTGGAAGCCCAAATGATGTAAAAAATAAACAAATAAATACTTGAAATCATTTGAATTGTGGGCCCTGAATCTATCATCTATTAAAAATTAACTTTTTGAATGGAATTATGGAAGTTAAATAACTTTTCCATGATATTCAAATTTTTCGGAAAGAGTCTATTTTATTTGTACTTTTACTATTTACTTCACTGCCTGTGCACAATAAGGGACTAAGTGACTCTTTCTGTTGGATTTCTGCAGCATATTTTCTTCCTCAGCGTCACTTCAGGTAAAATCACTCATTATCCTCAGCAGCCATTAAAACTGGACCTGGGAAGGTGGAACTTCGGAACCAGCTCGCCTTAACGGGTCCAAATTACAGCCGGTAATAAGCAGAGCCTCAGGTTGTAATTAGAGTTCCTCTGCTGTGCTGCGTGTGGAGGAGGAGGGGTTGTTAGTGGACTAAAGCCTGTACAAATGTCATTAATCCTGCTTTCCTACGCGGCGGGACCGGGCCGAGGCCTTCCCTCCGCCGCGCGCAGCCAACAGCTTTAATAAATACTTCTACTAAACACCAAACGGCTCGACTTCACGCCGGGGAGGTAAAGAGGTGGAAACTAACGACGACCGAAGAGCTCTTCCTTCAAGCTTAAAAACACCACAGGGACACATCCACTAAAATCCAGTGCACAGACCTGAGCACAGCTGCAGAACAAGCTCAGCTCGTCTGAACGGACCGGTCCAGCTGGAGGACTGGGAGCTGTGGTGCTGAAGCATCAGTCTGAAGCTGATCCGTCATCCCTGCACAGATCCATCAGGCTTCAACTTGACTTTAGTTGATGCTGAAGCCTGATGGACGACAGCAGAAAGTTTTCCTCTTACAGCTGACTCAGGATCTGAGCTACAGTCTGTGGATTTTGTACAAAAAAAAAACTTTTCTGTAAAAAAACTATAGTTTCTACTGATAAAATAATGTAAAGACTCCCAACTCAAAGTCAGAAGTTTGTGTAAGATGCACTGATGGTCTTCCTGCTCCCCAGAGGATGAACCTTTTTGGACTGGAATCAGAATTTAACGTTTTCTTGACATTTTTAAATTAAATTATATTTACCCTCTTTAATGTGGTTGATTTGTTTTAGGTTCTTTAAAGCAGTGGTTCTCAAACTGGGGTCCTGAGCCGGAGCTTGGGGGTCCGCAAAAAAAAAAATTGCATTGTTTTTAGCGAAGTCAAATAATTAAAAAAAATTGCCTTAAAACATATGGGCACCAATCAGACAGTCCAATTGAACTAATTAACTTCAGCTTTGAGTCAATAACAACTCTGTGATTACATCATACATCTGTAATACAGCTGTTATGATTCTGTTCACTTTTATCTAAAGAGTTGTCTGCAATAATTTGAAGCGCAATTCATTTATGTTCATTATGTGAACAGGTAAAGTTTTAAAGTGGTTTTTGATGCTGTTAATTTTCTGATAACTGTAATTTTTGGAAGTTGAAATTAAAAATTGTGTTAATAAGGTGTCTTGAATGAAAAACAACCCATGTTTAAAAGTTTAAAAATTGTATTAACACTATTAAAGATCAGGTCTTAAGTATTTGTTACTCGTTGCATTACAATTATTTAATAAACATGAGGGTTATGAGGGGGTCCCTGAACCAAAAAAAAGTTTGAGAACCCCTGATTTAAAGACAAAGAAACAAGTTTAGCCTGAAACACCAAACTGGAGCTTTAGACCAAAATAAACCGCATACGGCACATTATACACTCGTCAACAAACTAAGGCCCAGAGAAGCAACGACCTTTGACCTTTATTTGTGACTTTGACCTTGAAGCTGGAATGATAAGTGTATGATACTCCGTCTAGTGATGATAGGTAGGAAGTTTCTTAAAATGATCTTGAGCAGATCAAAAGTTATGGGAAGGACAAGAGAGAGTTTAGTCTGACGGACGTATGGAGATTATCATAATCCGTCCACATTTCGATGGGCGTTTAATAAAAACTGCGTCACGATTATTGACGATGTCTGCAGATTTATTTATTTATTTAGAATTAGACCCTCAGCAGCGTGGTGCTATGTGTCTGAAGAATCATTTCTGCTTCTCAGACCCGTTTCAATATGAATCAGAATTATTATTTTCAGTAAAACATCGTAATGAATATTTTTAGTTAAACATTTAAGATTAAAGCAGCAGTATGTCGTTAAATTTATGATCATCCTTTAAGTTTTTTTTTTTTTTTTTTACAGTTTTCTTAGAAACTTTTTTCTGGGTTGTAATGAATAACAGTTACAACTAAGTTGTATTTAATCTGTATTTGTATTTTTTTTACTCTAAAATTAGAGCTTGTTTGAGGATTAAATGTTTATTTTCTGCAGGAGTTTGGTTCATGTCAAAGCACCAACAGAAATGTTTGAAAGTCCTCAGAATAAAAACTGTTCTCTTTAATAACTTGACTCTTTTGTTTGTCAAACTTTCTGTTTGGGAATGAGAAACTCTGATGCCAGCAGGACTTTACATCTTCTGACCTGAGAACATAAAACTTGTTCCCACGTGGAAAAGTTAATTTAGTGTCCAACACGTTCATCTCTAGGTTTATCAGTCATGGTCAACTACTAATGACTTCATGAGTAATCGATACATTAATTCTACAAAATCTACTAAATGAAGCACAAAAGACACCAGACTTCTTTCTGTTCCAAACAAATAAAAACCTACATTTTGGTGTATTTCTAATAAGTTCACCCTCACAGACTCAGCCTCCAGCATGTTGTGACGCCATCGAGAGAGAGAAAAAAGAAAATTAATAAAAAGTTTTGTTGTAACTCGGCACCGTCGGTGACGCTCAAGAGTCCAGGTTCCTGTAGCGTTGACGTTAAACGCCGCGGGGTCGGTTCTCCGTGCGCGTCGAGATGTTCAGTCCATCGAACCGATGCTTCGTGAAGATCTGCAGACGGTGCAACTCAGAACCACGCCGGTTGCCTCGGTTACCGTTTGTACTATTTACAACTCTGTACACTTAAAAAAAAAAAGAAAAAAAACCCATCCAAACAGAAAAAGTAAAAATCAACTGATAAAGTAGAACTCCAGCAGCCGTGTTTCTGTAAACGTCTCGACGAGAAGCTGCTCTGGTGGATCGACAAATCTGATTCCTCCAACCTCTGGAGTTAACGACAAAATTAATCCAACAGATAGTCCAGGATAGATAGGATTACACAGTATACTTAAGTAGGATTTACAACAAGTTCCTTCCTTTCTGCCCCACCCCCCCAAAAAAGATGTTTTTGGTCTTTTTCTGTTCCGACAGAAACCTGGCATAACGCCACAACAACAAACTCCAATACGTGATTCGCTAAAGTTTCCCAAAAATCATCACGACGAGTTGTAGTTTACATTCCTCCACAGCAGCAGAAACTGCAGGATGTCTTCAGCTTTAGGTTCTTTCTATTTTACATTTGATTGGTTTTCAGAGGGGGGGGGGGGGGGGGGCATGGCAGCGGCAGGTGGGGATCTAAAGCCTTGTTTGGTGATGCAGTTCAAAAAAGAATTAGGGTGAGTCGGTGCTGCAGCACCGTGAGTTCTAGGCACAGGGGGCGGCTGTCAGGGGTGGAAGGTGAGGCAGAGCCACCGTCAGGGTGAGGCAGGTGTAAAATGGTTGGGGGGGGGGGGGGTTAAGATTGAGAGTTGCACCCTCACAGGTAGATCTCCCTCTTTGAGGTCTGGCCGGTGGGGGTGGTAGCCGAGTGGTACTCTGCCGCCTGGCTCAGAGGGATCTCCTCCAGACCACAGTCTTTACCAGATGAGTCTCCGCTCCCGGGGTAGGCACTGCTGTAGGGGGTCATGAACCTCATGCTGGCCACTTTGGAGTTGCTGCCACCGGCGCCGCCTGTCCCACGCTCCTCTGTGATCATGGGCTTGGGGCTGCCATTGGCCATCAGATGCTCCTGTCCGTCCATCTCCTGGTAAGGCACGAAGGTGGAGAGCTTGGGGGCGCAGCTCTTGGACACCTTGCGGTTGGGGGAAGGCTGGCCGGGCATCCAGCAGGAGTCAGAATGGCCAAACTCAGTGCACTCACGGGTGCAGTTACCGGTCATCGCCACGTCGGGAAGAGGCCTGAGGTCTGCAGAAAAACACAAAAACAGACAGGATGATTGAATTATCCAAAAACAGACACAAAGGAGCAGACATCACGATATGGAGACGAGACAAGAATGGAAGAAAACTTCATGACCATACGCTGGTGAAGATTCTCAGTCATCCAGGACATGGTAAATTCCAAAAAGTTCAAGACAAAAATGACCTCACCTAATGTGAGGTGTGATAGATCAATCTGCATATGTATGTATGTACTTATCTCAGCTTTATAACTTGAATCCCACACTCGCTGCTCTTTGAATTGAGAAAGCTTCTTGGATGAGAAGCAAAACATTTTCTGTTACAAATAAAGTCCATTTTTTTTTGTCTTGAACTTTTTTGAACTTCATGACCACAAACCACCACAGCAGCAGCATTAAGTTGGAGGGTAGCATGACAGACTGATTCATGAAATAAATATTAGAGACGTGAACATCGAGGCTTTGATTACATCTACAAACATGTTAGAGTTGATTGGAAGGACTAACACTCTTCAGTCTACCCGTGTGTTTGAGTAATTAGGAAGCACATTGTTCAATCAACGGGGCGGAGAAAAGACAGAAGAAAAACCCAGAAGGCTCGACTGTCAATAAATTCTGTTGTTCTAGTTCAGGATTAATCCGCCTCATAACCTCTGAGAAACCTGTCGCACCACACTTTCATGAATCTTTCAGCTCTGTCAGGTTTTACATTTCTACCTGTAGCTTTTAGCGCCTCCTTGTTTTATTAAGGATGTTAATACTTTGAAAACCATGACAGAAACTGAAGACAAACTGTTCATTAGTAAAAATTTGCTACTCCTGTTGTGGTTTTGGAAAAACCCACACAAAGAAGAACATCCAGCCGTGGGTCTCCATCAGAAAATCTGACTTTTTGTGGCAAAACATCAACCGACAGAGATGAAGTTCACTAAGAACTGAAAAATCTCCCCAAAGACGTCAACCGTGTGTTAAAACCCAGTCCATCTGGGACTGTTTGGGATCGCCAGCTCAGACTTCACAGCAGAACCATCATTCAGTTTAAACGGGTCATGTTTGACATAATAATGATGTCACAAATATTTTTACAAACAAACTCTGCTTATTTCAACTATCTTTACTGTGAAATACCTCCATGCGGTTTCTGCTTTTTCTTATAGTGTTTATTGGTGGTTATAAAATAACTTTTTGGAGCATTACTGCCATCAACTGGAAGGGAGTGCAGATCAGGAAACAAACTACCGTACTTGCCACCGTACACGTCTCACAGCAGTATAAGTCGCATCAGTCCAAGAAGAAGAAGGACAACTCGCTGTGCATTTCTGTGAAATTTAACAAGATAACCACCTAAAACAATTGTTTGTTTGCTCGACATTATAGTAAAGGTGTGTCTCAGTTTAACTTTTCCTTAATAAATGTACTTTAATGGTCAAATCAGCTGCATTTCGCCTAGGCGGCACAGCAAAATGCAGCTGATTTGACGTTTGCTCCATGAGTGCCGGAGCGAGACGAAGGTGGCTTGGTATGGCAAGCCAAGTGTCTCATTAATAGCCACTTTTATCTATTAATGGTAAATGGACTGTACTTATATAGTGCCTTTCTATCTTATCGAGATACTCAAAGTGCTTTACACAACAATCTGTGTCCTCATTTACCCATTCATACAGCACTCTACTAGATCTCTACAAAGCTAATTGAACAAATCATTCTAAAGAGACTAATCAGTGCTTTATCACATTCATACACTGATGGGACACACATCAGAAGCAACGACAGGTTCAGTGTCTTGCCCAGGGACACTTCGGCATGCGACTGCTGGTGGATTCTGTAGATGAACAGATGCTGAGATATATTCATCATTTAACGCGGGTTC